GAGAGAGAGAGAGAGAGAGAGAGATTATGATTTACCTGAATAAAAGGGAAGAGGCTTTTGAGAATGCACGGGCAATATGTTGGAGATGAAGATATTTAATGCCGGGCTTGTAACCTCTCCATGAATGGATGCATGCATGCGTGAACGAAAACATGAGTGAGTGAATGAATAGGATAAAATAGATGATCTAGTAAAGAGGAATTTAGGTAGACACTGAAGTCATCAATAACCTGAATCCAAACTTTGGCCTAGAAGATTCATTAGTCAGTATATGGTCCATTTACCTCACTTTTAGTACTACTTATTTCTTTGAAAATTAGACAGTTATTTATAACATTCCTTACTTCATGTTCTAACATAGAATGAACGTGATGCCTCCGGGCAAAACAGCTGAAGGCCAAGGTAGCAACTGCCCCTCTTAAACAGGCATGCAAGACCTCTAGTTCTTTATTCTTTATCACTGGTTATTTGTGCACAAAATCTGCTTTCTGGAAAGTGATCTTTAATGGGGCCCTTGGTACCATAACTAGGAGCCCAGTGGCTAAGACACAAGACTTCCTTGCAGCTAATACTGTCTGATTGAAAGCTTTCTGTTTCCCCTACCAAATTAGCATGTGTATGCTGCATAATGATAGAGTTTAGCATTAACTGCTGAGTGTTTACTATGTACAAAACATGATGTATTCATCTACTCAGACACATGGAGCAATGAGTTACATCTCCAGGCATCTGCTAGAAGTATGACAAAATAATTAATTTTTGGAACTTCAGTGTACATAACTGGGAATGGGAAATGATACACCTTATTTCATGTTGCTTTTCCAAGGGCTCTGCAAGTAAAGCGGGTAAGGAGGCTGTTGGTACTAATAAAGACATCATATATGACAAAATATTTTCACTTGAAATCTTAACACTTAGGAAGCTATGTCAACCCGTGTTAGAAAAGACACCGTAATAGGCTAATTTGCACTGCCTAATGCTATTAACAATAACTAACATCAATAATTAAGTGTGAAAACTCAGATCATTACTATGGATTTCTCATCTTTGAACAGTCACATGAAGGCAGATTTTTAAAAACTGTAGTATATTATATATAATTTTATAACAATAATGTATATTATAATGATAAGTGTGAAAATGTCACACTAAACTTATTTATGAATAAATCTTCAGTAAAAATTCTTAGAAATGCACAGAAAATAGTCTATTTATATAAATCATATATAAATCTTCCTGGTCACAAACACTGCCCCTGAATCACTTATTCACATTATTGTACAAAGACTTTTTAGCACAGTATAGTAACTATTGTCTGTCTGTCTCTCTTTATTGTACAGGGTCTTGGTGCACAGCTCAGACTCCTAGTGATCCTCCTGCTTCAACCCCCCCAGCTCTGGGACTACAGGCGTGTGCCACCACACCCAGACCCCATGGCCTGGTCAGCGTGCTCGGGGAGGGGGCAGCACAACATTGGGTACCAGGGATCGAACCTCGGTCCCTGCACTTGCCTAAGCAGGCACTTAGTCCACTGAGCTATCTCACTAGCTCATATAGTAACTATTTAAATGTGGAACACTACTATTAATATGAGCTTAAAACACTGGGGCGGTGGGAGGGAAAAGCATTGCTAGTTGCTGAACTTAGAATAGAAGAACACGCCTGGACTTCTTCCCCTCAGGTGAACTTCATCTATGTGATACAAAGTCATTCATCAGTGTTGCTCAATTATTTCAAACTGCTTTGACCTTCTAGTTTGATAACTAGTTTTCGCCCATTCCACAGGTGATCTTGCAAATTTGTAAAGCTAGACAAATAAAAGATCCATTAGATAATTTTCTCAAAGAAATAATACGTTGGCCACCAAAGTAAAATTGACATTTAAAAATTTTAAATTTTCATTCTTGTTCTCTGACCACGGCATTAAATTCTTTTGTGCAGAACAGCATATATGCAGCAGCTTAGTGCCAAGGACACAAATGAAGCACAGTAATGCTTATTTCAGTGAGGGTATAGAAATTTATAATTTAAAGAGTCTAAACTACTTTTAAATAAATTTATAGATATACAATTCGCATGTTTAACAGAAGCAAAGTAAAATTAATAAAATACAGGTTAGCTTCATTTGTAATTGCACATATCCATTCATTACCTACAAAACACCATATTTTAGAATATCAGAGTATCTGCAATTAGATAGAAATATTATAGGCAGTCAGATAGGGCCAAGCCCTCAAGGAGACAAGACAAAAGACTAGGTGACCTTGCAACTTGGAAGAGACAGACACTCCCATATGGGCCACACCTCAAGACCAAGACAGAAGAGGAAACACAGCTACATACTTCCCTAGGGATGGGCATCAGGGATTGATATTCTAAATAAGTATCAATTACTTTGAAAGAGCTCTATTGAGTCACTAGCCTGACCCCCAACAGGAAGAGACCCTGTCCAGTATTCATGCCTACTCATTTGGTCCTGGACTTAATCAATTTTACGTGAGCAATGGTGCTTGTAGTCTCATTGGGTGAACATAGTTTTGTCCCACCTCATGCCCACCTAAGGGAGTCTCCATGCTCTCCATGACCTTTATAGATCTGCCTCATTACATGGTTTTACTCTGTAAAAGTTCCTGGAAGAGACATTTTCCTGGGGACTACCCACTCAGGGTCCCCCTGCTGTCCTTCTCTCACACAGGAGCTTTCTTTCCCTCAATAAATATATTCTATTCATAAAAAAGAATATCAGAGTATCATAGTATGTCCAGATTTCAGTCTCAGTATTTCTGAATTTGTGAATGTGAGATGCTCTGAATGTGAAAAATTCCATACTTGACCTCCTGTGATTGGCTACAGTTAAAATGCAGGTGTGCCAAAGCTATCAGATAAACAAATGCTCAGGAGATTCTATAAGGTGTACATGAAATGTGGATCAATTTTGCGTTTGAGCTTTACCCTGATGTCGAACAAGATATGCATATATAAATGCTTCAAAACTTGAAAAAATCTGGAATCTGCAGCGCTTTGGATGGAAATGCTCAACTGGCACGAGCCTTGCCATAGAATTATTTTCTTCGCTGAATTATTTTAGCACCGCTTTAAGGATAATGACTTCAACAAGTAAAAAGTAATTATAAACAATAAATGTTCAAAATTAAGTGCATTTCCTTTATCCAACTATATCTGACCTTAAATGTGAAGGAAAAGGAATAGTAAAATGCAAATACTTAACATGATTAACATTTTAAAAACAAAATTTGAAGCAATCAGTTTTACAGGAATATTAAACAGCATCTCTGTTTCATCCTTAAGTAATGGAGAAGGAAACACTCACTGGAGAACTGAATGGCGAATCCAGATTTACTGATATAAAAGTCCGTGTCGAACTGGATGGTCACTATGTTGAGGGTGCTGTGAATTCCTTCAGGGATAAGAGACCCACTGATTTCCTTCAGAAGCATCTCGTTTTCTGGAGGGCCATCCCAAACTCTGAGGATATCGTGTGATGCTTCGGTATCAAAAGCAAGAAACTGTAGGCTGGGGGAGAAGTGTATATATCTGATTGTTATAAACAAAGATTTAATTTTCAATGAAGAATAGAACATATGAACTTTTGGGGTAGTATAATTTATTTCTTTCAAATATGATCAAAAACACTATTTCCTCTTTTATAAATCACAGTAACTTCTTTTATACATTCTTTTCAGGGTTTCTACATCTGTAGTACTTACAAGAGATATCTGTGGGGGATTTTCAATGTAGCAGGCAGAGAGCAAATTTTTTTTTCCTTTTTTTGTACTTTAGGGAAGGGTCTGCAGGGTGTTCAGGGTCTCACTGCTAGATTGGATTCGTAGTGATCTGCCTGTTTACAGCCTCCCAGGAGCTGGGATTACAGGTGGGTGCCACTACACCCAGTCCCAATTGCAGTCTCAGTGCCCCCAGGGGTGGGGTGGCACAGCAGGCCTGAGGATTGAAACCCTGGCCTCAATAATCCATTGAGCTATTTGCCTGGCCTTTAGAAAGCAAAATGAATTACCATATTTTATTCATTTAATTGATATAATGATCTAAAAGAGTGGTAATATTTTTACTTTTATTTACTAAATAATTTCCCAAAGGCTGAGTCATAAATGAACTTAGGTTGATGCCCCAAGACATATTTTGTCAGTGTTTCATGTTAAATCTACTCTACATCTGATCGAGGCAAAATTAGTATCTGGTCATTTTTTGCCAAGAGCAAAAATTAGCACTTCAATTCTATCAAAATGCTGTACTTTATGTTCATGTTCACATTTCATATATTAATAGGGACAGCTTTAAGCTTGGATTAATATTTATAGCAAATATTTATCTTTAATTAAAAATCCCAGCTTACCACCAAATTTAATATTCTTGAGTTTAATAATTCTAATATTCAAACATAGCATTCAGGATCTGTAGTAAAGGAAAGCAAGCTGGGGTCCGCCCAGGCTGGCTACCGGGAGTTCTGCACATGATACCATGCAGGAGCCAGCTGATGCCACCCAGAGCCAGCCACATGCAGGAGGGCACCCCTAGAAGCTGTCTGAAAAGTCGTTTATACTAAGTAGCAAGTCTCAAAATTTAAAGTTATTATTATGATCAATAACAGACAGGCCAGTTTACATGCCCAGGAGGATTTCTTTATTAAGCCATCTGCAGCCAAAGCCATAGTGATAAACTGGAACTGAGAGGACGTGATAGCCTTGGACACCAGCTTGCGGTGATCCAGAAGGTGATGCTTCTGCACCCTTCAGAGGAAGAGCGACGTGAAGAACTGGGAGCCCCCACCTAAGCTCAGCAGCAAGGGCACCCAGCACGGTTGAAGGGGCCGAGGGCAGATGCTCAAGCAGTGTGCCCCAGCTCAGGGAAGAAGGGTCACATTATCGAGTCACTTTCTGCTCTTACTCCTTTTGAATGTTAGTACCATTGCATGTGGTGACAGTGACTTGCATTTTTTTTAGTACTGAGGATTGAACCTCAAGACTTTGTACTGAGCTACATAACTAACTTATTAATTTTTATTTTGAGACACTCTAACTAAGTCAAGAATTGAAAAAAAGAAAAAAAAAGTTCACAAGGCCAGCTAGATAGCTAAGCAGACTAAGCGCCTGCTTAGGAAAGTTCAGGGACCAGGGTTTGATCCCCAGTACCTCACGCTGGCCCCTTCCCCCAGGTGCGCTGAGCAGGCCACCGAGACCGGGTGTGGTGGTGCATGCCTGTTGCCCCAGTGCTGGGGAGGCTGAAACAGGAGGATCATTATGAGTTGGAGCTGTGTAGTGAGACAAAAAAACAAACAAAAATGTCCACAGAAAGCAGGAAAAATTCTAGAATTCTGTACTCTCTTTTACAAACCAAAATCTTATTGCTACAGCCCTAATATCAATAATCCAAGCAAATGAATACTTTTTCATATTTCCAAAAATGAAAACTTCCCTCACCATAGTTCATAGTATTGAAAAATGTTGCTAATAATTCATAGTGTAGACAGGTACTGATTGGGGAAGTCAAATTCTTTTGAAATGGGAAAGCAACATCTGCTTACCTGACAATGTTTCCTGGGTCTACTTCAATCATCCACATGCAGCGCAGATTATTGTCATAGGGAAAGGGGTAACCAGGAGATAAGATTCTCCCTGATGATTCTCCTTTAAAACGACCTCCACATTCAGCTAGCAAATAAAATAAAAAGTAGTCGCATGTTAAAAGCAGTCTTCAGAACAACCTACAAGCTTCTTAAGAGTATGTATTTTTTCATACAAAGGAAAATAAAGATTGATGCTCCTTCCTGAAAGCAATCATTTGTATAAACATTCTTAGCTTAAGCTCTTAATCTAAGAGTTTAGAATCAAGAATATTTTGTACAATAATAGAAGATCACCTCCAGTTAGGTTGCATAAAAGACAATGAAATAAACATAGGTAAGGTATAAAGGAGGATACACTCAAAGCCCCTGAGGGAAGCTGCAAAATATTTAGAGATATATTTTTAAGTAATACTTGTAAAAAGCAAAATAGATGGTAAATGCTCACTGCTAGTGAACTGCAGACTGAATAATTCATCATCTTGTTACCCCACCTCTGAGAAAAACTCATCTTTACTGTGGTCCCTTAGGCATTCTAAATTTCATTGTCCTTTTATTCTCCTTTAAATCACTCCAATCCCTTTCCTTTTTAATCTCCCAAAAGTCAAAGCGGCATTTTTATTAGATTTTTTTTTTTTATCTTCAGGTAAGACTGAGTTGGTTTTCATACAATGTTGTCTCTAATTTTTATAAAACTTAGCCAATTAAAATGTATTTTCACACCATATAATTAGAATTTTATCCTTTGAGAGATTTTCTCTCCCTGTTAATACACTATTTATATCTGAAGTGATTTTATAGTGGTAGGAAAGCAGCCTAGAAAGAACTCTGTATTGGAGAAAAGAGAGAATGGATATTTTAGTGGGTATATTGATCGACAACAATAGCTCCTAGAAATAATAAGGACAGTCTGTAATCCATTATATATTTCAAAAATATCTGTATTATCCTGCAGCCATAAAACAAATAAAGCAATTTTCTTTTTTTCATAAATATTTGATGATATTTCAATAGTTTGATTTATTATTCTTCCAATTGTTTCTATCTTTCTTAGGTTGAACAGGTTAAATATAGTTTTTTTGTTTAGCTCTTTTATTGTTAGATCAAAACATGCCAATAACAGAAGGTTATATCATTTGGAGGAAACCTGGTAATATTAGAGTCTACTGCCTCAGATTTGTAAGTCCCATACATGCAGATTTGTTTCAAACATATTAGATACTACACTGCATGATATTAATAGTGCTACCATCCCCAGCTTGTTAATCAAATGCTAATCTAAGTGTCCAAGTACATTGTATATGTGGTTAACATCTCTGAGCAGTTTACACTAAGAAAAGGAGAATAAGTATCCTTCTTGGTGTATGTGGCCTCATCAGATCCACTGAAAGGCCTTTAAGAGAAAAAACTGCTTTTGAGGAAAAGAAGAAATTCTCCTTCCAAATTATAGGAATCAACTCCTGTTTCAATTCCCGACCAACTGGTCTGCTGTGTAGATTTTGGACTTGCCAACTGCTAAAATAAATTGACAAGTGAATTAATTTGTTAAAGTAAATATATATCTCTTCAGAAAAGAGAGAGAAACCCCATTAGTTTTATTTCTTTGGAAAACCTTGAAAGACACACACTCAAAAGGCTAAAAGAGTATTATTTTGTACTGAAACATAAATTTAATCTATAATAACCACCATAGATGATTTTTAAAGAAGATACTTGTATTTGAGGTGTTATCCTCACATGTATTTCCTGATTTTTAAGTAAAACCTTTGTTGTAAAGCTACAGCTATAATACTAATGCAAATTAATCTTCCATGATTTGATTTGTCACTACTATTAGTATATGTTATTTTGAGAACAAAGTTGAGACTTCTTTCTTAGACTGATTTTAGTCAATTGGAGTTTCGTATACTGTTTTATATCTTGAATTTAAACATAGGTTTTTTCTATCTCCATATCCCATTTTTTTCCCAATAATGCCTCCTGACCTTCAGTGAGCCAATAAGTCATACTATACCACTGGCTTTTATGCCCTTACAAAAACTTATGTTGGCCAGGTAAAAATAAAACACATTAAAGAAGAATAGAGGTCAAATCATTCCAGTTATGTCCTTCAAAAATTATTTTTGTTTGCTCGATATATAACTCAGAAACATAATTAACCTAACAATAGTACAAATAATTGAGAAAAAAATGTATTTGACAGAGATAAAAAATACAGCCACAATAGACACCTCAGGTCAATGAACAGAAAAGCAGCTATAACCTTAGGTCAAGTAGTAATGTTATTAATTGTCAGTAAGAAATACAGTCTAAAGCAGAGCTTGATGTTCTGTCACAGAATGGACTTTTTCTTTTATTTTGTGGCTCAGGCTGCCTGAAGGCCAGGTCTGGTAAGGCAGGTGGAGCTGGGGACCAAACCACGGTATCCTGCGCCTGACTGTGTTTGCATGAGCAGGCGCTTAAACAACTGAGCTAACCAGCAGGCCCCCCAAAACGAGAGCAGTTTGTTTTGTTTTGTTTTTGTTTGTTTGTTTTGCTATTTCAGGCTGCCTTAAGGACAGGTCTGGTACAGCTTCTGGAGCTGGGAATCGCACCGTGGTCTCAAGCGCCTGCCTGCGTTTACCCAAGTGGCACTTTAAACAACTGAGCTATCCGGCAAAGCCCCCAGTCTTCTGTCATGGAAATCATAGGTATCACTAATCATGTGTCTAGATGTTTAAAAACTGTTTAACTTCATCTTTATTATTATTTATTTATTTATTTATCTATTTATCTTTTTGCAGTACTGGGGATTGAACAATTGAACTCAGGACCCTGCACTTGCCAGGCTAGCGCTTATTCCACTGAGCTATCTCCCTAGGCCCTTCATCTTTATTATTAAAAAATATGTATCTTAAGGTATACCCTGGTTGGACACATTTGATTTACATGCTTTTTATTTTCTTTGGCCTATTAGTCTGGTTTCAATCTGTATACATTGTAATTAACTTTATAATGTCTCATAGGAGTACCTAAATGAATCTGATGCTGATGATGTAAAAGGGGAGTGGAGAGAAGGAGAAAAAAAGAATTCAAATGTGCCAACTCTCCTGCAGGGAATGTAATTATGATGTACTAAAGCATGCAATAATAAAAGGAAAAACAAAATAAAGTTTATAATTCCCACGAAATCTTGTACAATATTAAGTCACTAAGTTTACCTTAGAATATTTTTAAATGTAAAATGCAAAACATAATTAAAAACATCTGACTTGAGATCAAATGACTTTTCTTGTGCATGAAAGCTTTCCAGAAAAAAAGTCTTCATGTTTGTTCTACATACTCAGAAAATTTTAAGTCATTGTTCTGTAATTTTTAATTTTAAGGAGAGTGTGGCAAATGAATATTTGCAAGTTAATTATTTAGTGATGTTACAATTCTTAAAGCTTTTCTGAACATATTCTATATTCACATCAAAGAACGAATTCTCTTCAGAGAGAATGATGGTATATTTTTCTTATAACCAATTCCAATGGGTAAATATTTGGTCATATTCCAGAATCGCACATTTTTGATAATTAAAGTTGATTTTTGCTGGGGATATAGGTAATTGGAACAAGCACCTGACTAGCAAACACAAGGTCCTGAGTTCAATTCCCGGTACAAAAAACGTTGATTATTATTTTAGATAATATCTTCATAATCTATCCAAAATACAGATGCCATCTGAAATAACAGATTTCAATTACATTTTGGCTAAATGAACATATTTGCTCCCTGTGTGAACCAGTGTTTAAATAAACCAGCTGAGATCTCTTTTCATTAGAAACATCACACAATTCTAAATGAATTCTAACAAGTTTTACAGTGACTCTTATATTTACCATAACAAATACAGGGACACAAATTTTCCAACTGCATTAAAAGGTTTAGGTTTCCATAATTTTCAAATTGGAAACATTAAGCACATCCTGTTACTTTCTAAATATCAATTATACCTCAATAAAACCATAAAAATGAAATGGTCAGTCAATTTTACGAATGCAGGCAAGACCCAGAACAGACTTCCCTCCCAATAAATGCCACTAAGAATTAAGAATGGCTAAGTAATTGCAACTTTCTTGTTCCCTATTCATGAATTAGTGTTAAAATTTTTTTTTTGGCCTTGTATTCCTACCCAACTTGGTACCCACTTGATCTTGGGAATACAAAAAGTTAAAAGGGAGAGGATGAGTCTCTGTGATTTTTATCCACCTTTCTATCTCCATATACTTAGTTATATAATAACATGTATCCCATCTACTGAAAAAAGAAAAAATAACCCTTCTCTAACTCCAAGTTAGCCTTGTGAGGCTGACTTTACTGTGTCTTTTCATATTGAAATCAGTTGTTACAGTGTCCATACATTTTAAAAAATGCAGTTTTAAAAATGTTTCAATGTATATGTAAAAAAAAAATGTCTTTGAGCTGAGAATACAGCTCATCTGCCTGCCTGGGAGGGGCAAGGCTTGAGTCCAATTCTTGGTACCAAAAATAAAATAATAATAATAATAATAATAATGATAATATGAAAAAATGCCTTTGAAGTTATTCTGAATAGTTTGTTATTTTTAATCCATCCTAATTCCAAAATGTGCAATGATTTTGTAAATTATGAAAATAAAATTCAATAAATATGTATGATCAAAAGTCTTAACATCTTTGTAGTGATTTAAATTTTCTATGCAGAACAGAAATAAAATGACTTCATACAAACCACATTACTCCCCTAACCATTGCTAAGATTCTGAGAAGGATCCTTATACTTCTCAGGCATTTCCTTTTAACACATTAAATTTTATTATTATCTTTTACTTTAGGTTAGTCTCGTGTGCGGCAGACAGAATTGCTTGATCTTGGAGAGTGTAATTTGCTCTCATTTTCACAGACACGTTTATTAGCACAAATCTAGACGAGGATCCTACCTATGCAGGACGGCAGCGGGTAATCCCATGCCCTTCTCTCCCCCGTCATGCACTTGAGGAGGCTGCTTCCGTGGAGGGTGTAGCCTGGGTTGCAGCCATAGATGATGGTGCTCCCAGCAAAGTGGCCCTGGTCGCTGATCTTGTATCCAAATTGTGGAATGCCGGGATCTTCACAATGTGAAAGTTCAAAACCTGGTAGGAAAACAGAAATTGATTAAAAGCAAACTGTAGGGGGACAATTTAAAACTATATGAATTATTTCACTTATTCATTATTTCATAGATGAGTTACATATTTTTCCTGGTTATATTATTCTTGGCATATTTAATTTAATTTAATTTAATTTATCTTATTTTATTTATTTTTATTTTGGTGGAACCAGGGGTTGAACTGAGGCCGTTGCGCTTGCCAGGGAAGCGCTTATTCCACTGAGCCACCTCCCCGGCCCCTATTTAATTTTAATAGTACACAATAATACTCGCTTTTTTCTCTGATAATTAGAACTTGTACTTTTACAAGTAATCAATGATATGCTCTATATTAACATACCAGGGCTTGAAGTGGTAAGCTTGCTTCCTGCCTACATCAAATGACTTACAGTTAATATTAGAGTCTCAGTTATACCATGATAGAAAACATAGATGTTGAATAGGGTGTTTGACTCCCAGTAGAGAGCTCCTGAAACCCTTGGCATTTCCTAAGTGATACAGATTCAGAAGAGTCTTACTTCAATGAGTCTTTTTCAACTATGAGATCAAGATCATGAATGTCCTCCCTCTCTCTCTGTCTCTCTGTCTCTCTCTCTGTCG